ATTACTTCAATCAAAAGTTAGCCTAAAATACCGTGTTCGTCATGCAGTTTCAGGCATTTCCTTGCGCGTCTACCAGAAAGCAGATAATGTGCGCAAAACATTAGCGTGACTAGGCACTACAAGTTCTTCGAAGGTTCTAGATACTAGCAAATTTAAATAAGCGAAATCATTTCAAGGCTTGGCTACCAAGCACGGATCTATATTTTTTTTACTATATGTTGAGATCATACAATATATTCGTTTATTAGTACAAGGCAAAATTGCAATAATCGATCCTGCATTAAAATGATCTATACTTCATGAGTTCTATACTTTTATAATGAGTTCTATACTTTATCATTCTCGTTTGGGTGAACGACGTTCCCTCACGTGTAATTTTCGCAAAGGGAAATCCGTTTCCCTTGTCAAATAATGTAGGAACGCCGTTCCCCCGCTCGCGTTCTACGTTTCAAAACGACACGAAGGTCAAGTAATATCGCAATTCGCAAATAATGCATTTGTGCAACTGGACAAATTAGTTGATTTACCAATGGTAAATAGCCATACCATGTGCGGATGAGAGCTAATTTACCAAGAAGCTCTCTTACCAAAAGCAATGTTGATCTCAGGACGATATAATTATTGATTTCAAAAACAGCAAATGTCAAAGAAAATTACCACGACAGAGAAACATTCGAATCCTGGCACACCACGATCAATTTTAAACATTTTCCAAACAATGTGAAATAAAAAAAATATAAGTTTACCCGAAGGTTTGAAAGTAAACCTTTTAAGCTATCAAACGTCTCAATAAATCATTATTTTCAATCCTGGGCACATGTACTTCATGCAATCTAAGAGATTTGATCAAAGACTAAGAGATCTGGTCAGCTTCGACATATGAATTACACTGACCAATTTCTCTGCTGTAATGAATCAGAATATTTTTAAATAGGGTTAACTTACGGCCTAGTATGTTTGCTAAGAAATCTACTCGACCTCTTTTCTTGTATTAACGTAAGCAGTTTCTGAACCACATTTTATGTGCCTGTTGCTGTGTGTAACTACTCATGTGAACTCCTGTTAAATATTATTTCTCTCACAATTTAGGACGAAATCTACCATTATATGCTTGGTTAAGAATTTAAAGTCATGCAGGACAACTCAAAGCTATGTAAGAAGTTTTGTGAGTCAAGGTGAATAATATTTTCTTGCAGTGAAAGATCAGTTTATGCCCGTAAATTGAAAAGACGATAATTGAGAAGAAAGCCACAAATACTACACAACAATGTTTATTTACCACTTGTACTGAGATGTACATAAACGTCACAAGTTTTTGTGCATCGCTCACTACACTGCTTGTTTCTGTCATGTTGTGTTTATAGAATCGTTGGTTTGTTCACAGAACCGGTTGTGATAATTACGGTGAAGCCTTCATCTCCCAGCTTTCTCCCAGCTCTTTTTCTATCACTTAAAACTTTGTGTAAGATCAAAATAAAATAAATGCTCGACAGTAAGAAAAAATATAAAATATATTGCTCGAAAATACGAAAAGCTGCAAAGAGCTTAAAAGTTTCATTTCGGTAATCCAAAATGCTTTGACCGAAACTTCCTAGAAAATAATATTAATAAATGTTGTTCTTTATATCGATATTATATTCTGTTTTGCGGTTATATTTCGGCATGGGTAATAAAAACGAAAATGCTCTCTATCTTGACGGATTCACTATCACTCACAGTTGAGAACAACACAAACAATTATTATTTTATTGAAACAAGTTTAAGTAAAAAACAAAATTAGGGTTCATGATGGCCAATAAGAAATTATTATCGTCATCAGTGACAATTCGTGCACAACAAACGTTATATACACTATTTTGCTATTGTAATTTCAACATCACAACAGCTAGCTACGCCATTGTCACGCAAATTTGCTGTTGTTGTGAAACAATTTAAGACATAACAAAATAACTAAACCCCCAATCCTGAAGCTCCCGAACTGATTAAGTTACCAGCGTAAAAAAACATTGCAAATATATGGACAACTGTGTAACAGAATTCACTGAACTCATTATAACTTGCATGCCTGTTGTCCATACAAAGACTATTACAGCTCTCTTGACGGGAAATTACATGTTCCTCGAGAATGATATTTGTAGCATCTTGTTTAAAATTTTGAAATCTGTTGAATATGATGCAAAATAAAAGCAAGTTGATGATTTATTGCTAATATTTATCATAATTCAATTCGTTGTTGAAAGTCGTTGCATCAGGATTCCAAAATAGACCTTTTCGGTAATTATTCGTTACAAGATTTTAAGGTCACAAGATCACCTTAAATGAAATGGATTTCGAGTTTTACTCTCACGAGCCACATACAAAGTTGAAAGTTCTTTTTCATGCATCTGTTGAAGAAGGATGTTTTGCATCTTTCCACATACCTCGTGAGAGTAAAACTTGAAATCCATCTCATTTAAGGTGGTTCGAAATTTAAAACGATAATGTTGTAACGTAATTACCGAAATGGTCCATTCTATTACTGATTAGCGAAAATGAGGTAGACTTCCATATCTTCACGAAACGGTAATCCATTTGAGAAGTCTTTTTACGCATTTATATCTCGTCAAAAAGCCTATAAACCATACAACAACCTTTGTACGACAGTGTTATAAGAATTATCATCCTGACAGTTTATTTTTCTGGTTTAGGGGATTGTGAAGTTGATAATTTAAAGAACAACAATGGATCCATTGAAAGCCAAAGCTAATTATTCCCGGATATGTCATTTGTTGGTAGATAAAGGTGGAGATGTTTTGAGAAATGCTTTGCATGCGGCAATTCATCCACCTTCCACCTTAGCTTCCGTATTGAATGCCAACAAGAAGACTTTGCAAAAAATACGATACAGTGTAATTAAAGCCTCGCAATGGGATCTACTCTTTCCAACATCTGGTGCTCCAGATTCAAAAAACTTTGATATTACCCTATTGACTGCCCTACTCCGAAATATTTGTGGATTCTCGGCACCAGCCACCGGATGGAATGTGATGCCTCCAGTCAGCGATACTTCTATATCTGCAAATATTGTAAGAGTCAAAATGTTTAGAAATGAAGTCTATGGTCACATTCCGACTGCTAGTTTGGACGACATAACGTTTGAAACATTGTGGAAAGAAATTTCTGTTCCGTTAGTCAACTTGGGAATTCCTCAAAATGATATTGATGAATTAAAGGTGGCTCCTCTTAGCCCTGAAGAAGAAAGTTATATTGAAAGATTGAAAGAGTGGAAACAACAAGAGGATGATTTTATGTCAAAATTAAACGATGTTGAAAGTGAAGTAGTGAAACTAAGACAGACAGTTGAAAATGTTCATCCCTCGCTTGTCGAGCAACTGGCTAAATTTAACTTTGCTGGAAAGATTCGTGACCTTTGTAGAAAATTTCAAGATGGCACTAGAAAGTGGTTGTTTGATAAACTATCAAATTGGTTTGGGAGTGAAGAATCCAGGATCTTGATCCTAACTGCAGGTCCAAGTGTTGGAAAAAGTGTTTTGTCTGCAAAGCTTTGCGAGCTTTTTAGAGAACGTGGTCAACTCGCAGCTCACCATTTCTGTGACTTTCGAAATTCTGATTACAGCAATCCTCAGAGAATCCTCCAGTCTCTTGCCAGTCAAATGTGTGATAATGTTGAAGGATTTCGTGATAAACTAACTGAAATTCTTCGTCGTGAACATTCTCGTGACTCGCTGTCAGACGCATTTCGTGTTCTTTTGAACGACCCCCTCCATGCCCTTGACAGACACGATCCAATGTTGATCATCGTTGATGCTTTGGACGAGAGCAAAACTGACGAGAAAAGCGAATTATTGGAGTTGATATCTGAGAGATTTTGTGAACTGCCTGATTGGATTAAGATATTCATTTCAAGTCGACCAGAGCTACAAGTACGAAAGATTCTTGAACATCTTCACCCGTGGGAAATCCGTCCTGATGACGAAGATCACAACCACGACATAGAGCTTTTTGTTCGTCATAGTTTACCTAATCTTGATGATAATAGTATAAGGTCAGTTATTTCAAAGTGTGAGGGATCGTTTTTGTACGCTTATTACTTGGTCAGTGAATTGAAAGAAAAGGGCGTGGGAATTGAACCCGACCTAAGTGATTACATCTCCAGCGGTATTTCCGGATATTACGAAAAACAGTTCAAACGTTTGAGAATGGGCATCCAACGTTTCAAGGAAGATACTTCATGTCTCTTAAACAGTTTCATCAATATCGTTGCCGTTTCTAAGGAGCCCCTCCCAATAAAAGTTCTTTTCAAATGCATGGGTCTCTCTAAAGACGAATTTGAAATTCGTAAAGCGTTTCTTGACATAATGTCAGAGATTCTTCCAGTTTATGATTGTCTGACTGTTTATCATAAGTCATTATGGGATTGGCTGACATTGAACGGTTATGAAGAACATGCATTCGTTGCAGATGTTGAAGACGGCAATAGACGTCTCTGGCGTGCTTGTAAGAAACAATTCTGCGAGATAGATGCTTTGAAGTCTGTTTTAGAATTCCAAATTTCACCCGAGAATAGGTACGCTTTAAAAAATGGTTGGAAATATTTGGTCGATACAGGCGAGGTAGATGAATTTCGTTGGTTGGTGCATGTTGGTATATTCTTCTTGAGACTAAAATTTTTTCCTAACTGAACAGTTACTTTTTTAGGCGAATTCTTCGTGCGTACCCCTCTAAACTTTCCAAAGATATTTATTGGGGCATCATTCACTTTGTTTCTCCAAATGGTGAAGTTCGCGATTACTAGATTAATAGACTTATGAAAAAGATAATTGTTACGTATATTTGCAAGCACTTGCTAATGGGCACTTTGATTTTTCACAAGGTGCCGTCAATTCCAAAAGTGTAGCTAGGGATATCTTGGGTGCGACAAATGAGATTTGGATAGAATATGTGACAACTGAAAGCAATTCTAATTTAAGCATCGTCCCCGAAGTGTTCAGCGACTTAATTTGATTTTATTGTTTCACAGGACAATACGATGTTTGCTTGCGTATATTTGCTTCAGCGAAATGTTGAAATGCTTAAAATACCAGATCTTACAACTATCTTTGAGGCACAAATTACTATAAAACTTTTGCAATTCTCTGCCTTTTCTCCAGACTCTTCGTATTGTTTATACAATTCAATCCGGTTCTGCATCAATATTAAAGAAAAGAAAGAGGTCCCCTTCATTACGCACGGCCCCGATGACATCAGGGACTGTTCATTTTCTTCATGTGGAATGAAACTTGTCACATTAGAAGAAACGTCAATCAAAGTGTGGGATGTAAAAAGGAAAAATTTATTGGTTGAAGTTGAGAATGTGTATGATGAGGAGTCTTATTGTTTGTTTAGTAATTGTAACTCCTACATTCTCCTTTGGAAAAAGGGTATGGAGAAGTCAGGTTCACCAGTCTTAGATTACATGAACGTCTTGAATTCTGAAACTTTGGAAAAGATTGATAAAAAGCATATTCGTGTTGCCCGGAAATTGTGTAGTAATGATTCCTTTCAAATATTTTCCCCGCCTCATTCTTTTTTCGACTTGAATGTTAGAATGGAAATGAATTATGTCTGTTTGCCATCTGGCCAGATAGTTCTTATTTCCAATAAATATTGTTCAAAAGTCTTTTTGTGGAAAAACAGAAAGTGTGTTGCATTCGTAAAAGATTTGAGAAACGATTTAGCTTTGGTAGTGTACGATTTCATAAATCAAAAGATCGTTGACGTCCTTGAGATTGGATTTCTACCATACGATACTCTTGTCAATTACATTTCGAAATTAGATGGAACGAGTTTTTTTCTATGTTTAGGATTTCACAAAGTACTCAGTGTTTTATCCTTCAAATCTCTTGTCGAATGGCCTGATGCTACTTTTGTTGACAATGCCGAAATAGATTGTCGTGCACTCTCTCCAGACACCTTGTATGTTGCGTGCTGTTTTGAAAATTGCCTTCTTTCAATAAGAAGTGTGGATAGTGGGGAAACAATGCAAACTGTTGCACTGAAACAACGAGCATTAGCATGTTGGTGGTCAGAATCGTATCTTTGGTTGGTCTGTGAAGGTCTGGTTTTTAAATATCGTTATAACCCTAGGAGTAAAAATATCTTAGGAAGTCAACATAAAGAATCTATTGTAAATTTTGAACGTGTCCTTGCGTTTAAAAATGGAGTTCTTGTGATTTACGGCGATCGGAAACTTTCTATTTTAAGAATTTGTAACGAAAAACTGTGTCATCAAGAAACGCCGTCATGTAGGTTTACTGACCCTTCTGTCGCAATAAGTTCTGATGGGTGTGCTGTTATGTTATTATTTTCTGATTTCGACGTTTCAACTTATGAATTGTGGGAATTAATACGTGGCAACACATGGATTGTACGTTCAGCCGGAGAGTTGCATCTAATGATTATTCGTTGGTGGTCTTTATTTGGTACAAAAAGGACTCGCAATGCAGTGTTCTTGACAAGATATCGATCATTGATGCTTATTGATGCACTTTGTATGACTTTCCCAAATAATGTGCAAGATATTCATGAACTTCCTATTCAAAACTTTAGAATGGCTGCTTATATCGACTCTGATTTGATCGCTATTTTCACCGATGAATGGATACGTTTTGTTAAGGTGTCAGAAGGCAGAATCATAGCTACCAGATACTTTTGTAATCCTAATTTTTTTAGGGATAGAAATCCTCATTATTCATCTCCTTTCTTTCTTCCATCAACGCGTTCTCTTCTGTTCGTTGACAGAAATGGCAACAAATATTTAAAAATTCATAATATTGAAAAGTATCTCTAAGATCTCCTTTCTTGATGTAAGTAGTTTAGAATCCGATTTCTTGTTTAAATGCGAAGACCACGCGTAAATCAAACGTTCAGCTATGGAACGTACTGAAATGCGAAAACCACGGAAATCGTTGAAACGTTTTTTTTAGTTTTTCCTTTCGTGATGTAAATTTTTGAGCATGGAATTTCTTATTTTAACCGCGAAACGCACGCAAATTGTCTGATATATATTTTTTAAAAAAAAGCCAAATAACTTTAACATAGTCAACGGATTTAACAAACGCGGAATACGTCTATGAAAACGTTTGAACTGTGTAATATTAGTAGAAAAATATTTTTAAAATATAATTTGTATCCAAGAGATTTTCCTGCTGTGTGTTTTTATAACCTGCGTGTGAGATCGATTAATTCACATACTTCCTTTGTGTACTTGTGATAAGCGTACATGAATATTCAGCCTCTTGCTTGTTAAGCGATCAGTTTATTCTACACACAAGAATTCAGTATAATAGCCATCTTTACTTGCTTTACTGTTCCTAACGGTAGACGATGAACGAAAAATCCTTCTATAATTAACATGGATCATTATTACATATTTTTCCGCTTTGAGTAAAAAAAAAGGCTCTGAAAGAGACGAAAAAAAATACGCCGTGTCTGAAGGAATATATTTTCAATTGTTTATGTTATTTTCCTGAAAGTTAAAGGTGTTTATGTCCCTATATAGAAAAACAAGATTTCTTCCATTAGAATTTAAAATTTAAAGGAAAATATTTTCGTAGCGAGGCAAACGAAGCTATAAAATGAAGGATATTTTTGTTCATGTTTGTGTGAAATGAACTTGAGTGAAATGAATAACAAGGAAGGTTTAGGTCAATGATTTACCTGATCTAAAGTAGCTGAAATGAGTAGCTGAAATTAGTTTCCTGTTTTGTCAGAGACACTTTTATCAGAAGTTTTTAGCATTCCATTTTTATATTCTAAAGCAATTTTTGAAGCTCCTCTGGAAGATAAAGTACATAAACCTTTTGGAAAAGGAGAAAGAAGCCTGTGGCGGAGTACAATTTCTTGGTGTAGTCAGGCTATAATCAGATCTTATTTTTTCGAATATCAAAATCATTTATTTCATGTCACAAGATACAAAAGACGAAGCTTCCTTCAATCAAAATTTAGAAGTAAGGAACGTATTCTGAAATTTTTGCAGTAGAAAACCTGACTAGCCTCGTTTTTGTGTATCTCGCAATAGGCCTCTTGCTCTACTTCGAATAGGTCCATGCATAGTGATGTGAACCCGCGTCATGATGTAAGGTGCGGATTGCATGGGCGAGGCTGGCCCGTTCCCTATAGTTTATTATAGTCAATTCAAACGTTTCGGTTACATGCAACCGGGTCAGCTCGGGCTGTGGTTGTGTCAAGCGGGCCAGCTCAGCTTGCCGATATGGGCGTGGCGATAGGAAAAGGGGGGTTGGTCAGCATGATAAAAAGTTGGTCAAATTGCTTTGTTATTTGTAAGCAAATTTAAGCAAATTAATACTGATAGAAAAGTTGACCAGTTTCCTACACCCATGTCATACGCAAATTTTCATTTCCATTATTAAAAGTTGGTCAATATTACGTGACACCCCCCTCCAATCCTAGCTCGTTTGCCACGCCTCTGCTCAGTTGAAGTTTCGTTTCAGGCCGGCAAACTGGCCTAAAAGCCCAAGAATGAATATCATACTTTAAAACCTAGGAAGAATTGACATTTACGGAATTGATTTCAAAAAACTTTCGCAAAACTATCCTACTGAAATAACTCATGTAATCGTTTGCTGGGCAAACGTGCTATCCCAGTCCATGTAATCTGCCCCTAAATGGTATGATTAAATGTTGATTCGTGAATATCAGCGACAGCGATTACTCATGGATGCAGTGATTTCGCGGTGGTAACTTCCTATTTCTCAAATATATTATTTATATTATTGTATAACCGTGAAGTTACAAGATAAAAGTATTTTTCATGCACATGCACGATATAATTTACCACGTATGTTTTTCTATACTCCATATAAATACAATATATAAACATTTTTGAATATTTTATCTCTGTGCTTAAAGAAAATAATAGTTAAGTAAATTAGCTTGTAGGTACACCACGTAAGTAAGTATTGTAGTTGCTTGTAGTTTAAATATGACTCGATGCTGTCGTTGTAACGGGAATGGACGGTGTAGACAAAGAATGTGTTTGTGCAAAGAGCGATCCAGTTTGCACTAATTGTAAGCCTGGAAAAAACGAACGATTTGAAAATAAAAAAGCAGCTCGTCATTTTGTTGAAACTGTTGTGTTTAAGAGAAAACTGTATTACGTATAATCACCATATCATCTTATATTCATATAACCATATAGTATTCTCTTCAGTCAGACTTACATGCATGAGTAAGCAAATAGTTATCCACGCCTTATCTCACAAACACGTAACAAGGTGTCGACCACAAACCACGATAGAATGCATGTGCTACAACGCACTGTATTGCGTACGGGGAATGACTTGTAGTTTTAGTGTAGCCAAGCGTATAAAATCTGAGCACAACCAACCACGGGCAGAGAAATGCGTATAGCATTCTTCGTAAGGCCTCAGGGCCTAAATATTATATTGTAAAAGCAGAAGTACTAAACAAAAGGAGTTAAAGTTGAAGACAAGGCTTTGTGGAGTTGTGCTCAGACAGAGATAAGTCAAACGTTTAAAGATATATTATATTCTTAAGGTCATAATCTTATAGAGACGTTAATTACTGTTATTGGAAAGTTAAGGGATGAATAGTTATATAAATATAATTGACTCACACTGTGTTTGTTGCGAGTAGAAATAGAACCAAAAACGAGTATTATCAAAGTTTATAGGACCACGCTTGTAACAACTGATGTTTGCTTCTGTTTTTCTGTATTGAAGGTAGAAAGAAAATGGCACAAATTAATTCTGAAAGGCATATTTAATTGCTATTGAAAGATGGCATATTTAATTGCTATTAGTAAGATGGCTCCACACGATTTTAGCTAAGTTATATAATGCAATATTTTGGTACTTTTTTTATCAAATGATACATTTTCTGCAAACAGACCTCGGTCCGATATCGATCTCTTGATAAGAAGTTACTAACTCACCCCCAGTAAGGTTAAAATTTTAAGTCAGGAAAACTGAGGAATTTCACATGGACGGCAAGAATACTCGTTCTTACGGCTACACCCTAAAATATTTATCAATAATTGATTATCAATTCAAGATCATACCGAAAATGTATACCGAGTATATTTCAAACTATTAATGAATAATACAATATATTAGCAACATTAGATGAACTGTTTAACATTTAGAATTTTAGAGATTTTAATGATGAACACACCACACACACATGCATCAGCATAATACATAGCTGATCGATAGCTTGGTCTGAGTTGAGTCATTTTGTGTAACACTATATAACACTTAATTCTCACAATGTGCCGGCCATGTAATGTTGGCTGTCTCTCTTTACATGTCATGAGCAAATCAAATTGTGGACAAGATACCTCTTGTCAGATTCAGAGTTACGATTACAGACAGGCTTTGGTTGGTCAAATATATTGAATAAACACTAGATTGCTAGCTGTTGCGATACTTATCGTGCATGGAAGGCGAGCTTTTTGTTAAGTTTTTAGGCAGATGTAGACGTAATGTTTAGTCACTGTTAATTTAGACGTTGTGAAGTTCACATCAGAAAGCTTATTTTGAAATTTGGAATGTAATTGTGTTAAACCCACTGAAACATGGTTTCAGATGTAGGATTGTGAACAGCGTTGTTTTAGTTTTACTCGGGAAGACATTCCATCGCACTTTATAAGCAATGTCTGATAGTGATACAGATCAAGACATGCAGGCTTGAAGTCGAAGGCAAAAGCCAAAGGCAAAGCGGAAATTTCATATTCTAGAAATACTATGGCGGTATTTCATCGAGGATGGGATTATGTTTTGGTCTGTATAGTTTGTGGCATATAAATTGGGCAGGAAGCGCTCGAAAAAAGGTCTAGAGGCTCTAATTAACCTAAGTTTTTTCTAGAGGAATAGGAGGACCTCTAATTCGCAGAGGATGTGAGCCAGCTCTGTGCATGTTGTTCAGTGAGTTGAGACCTGATGATCTAGGGACCACCATTAGTTATACTGAGACAGTAAGGGCACTCAAAACCCGACAGAGTTTTACGTCATAGCTCGAACCGGGCAGAGTTTATTAAGCGATGAGCCAATTGTTAAACGACATCCACGACGAGAGGTGTCGGTTTTGGAACGCTTGATCAAGACATCATAGTATTCCGCGTGGAGGATATTTAGGTGGAAAATAATGTCATTGCGGGATAGGTGACACTCGGGATCAAACGGAGAATTACACGTGAATTCACTACCGCGCAGGAGACCAAAAAAGGCCAGAGTGAAGGCGGCCCAAAGCATCACATTGTCTAAACAGTTTGTAAACTGAGGAGGTAGAGCAGAATGAAGGGACTGGAGTTCGGTCACAGTGATAGGCCGTCAATCCTGCAATTTTTCACCCTTGAGGCGCTTCAGACCTTTCAGGCTTTTCTCTAATAATTGCATGCTCCCCATGTCGAATGGGATTTGAAAAATTACGTGCAGGTAAGACACGCTAGCTAAGTATGTTTTAACAGTTGAATATGAAACAGATTTGGATAGATGGCCGACGAAGTAGAGCAGGGTAAGCTCAGTCCCAGGCAGTAAAGGTGAACAAGGTGTCACGATACCTTTTGCAAGGCAGAATGAAATGAATTGTTTTACGCCGGCGGCGTATGTTTGTTTAGTTGACGGTGCCCCTGAATGCTGAGTAAGTTCATAAACACGGTCTTTTAAGTTTGAATCATGGATACTGGGATGACGCAGGGCAGAGGAGAGGCCAGAGACGCTAATTGTTTGAAGCGGTCAATCTGAAAACGAGAGAGCGAGTCATCAATGCTATTGTCAAATCCGCGTACAATGTCTGGCCGTAAATGTAAAGTTGTTTTTCAAAGTACAAAGAACAATCGGTCGGAGTAAATCCATTATCTTCAGACATTTTGACGTCTTCTGGTTGAGAACTTGGACAACGGACTCGTTGTCACAGAAAAACACAATGCGTTTTGTTGCCCAAAAATAAATAAATAATATAAATGTAAATACACTGAATTATAAAATTTAAAATGGTTAGTCGATCATTATCGCCTTGACCTCTATACGAACTTGCAGCTCTAATCGATAAGCGAAACCTTCCTCGCTAAACAAATCAAGCTTTGCCTTAGACTACGTGTAGTTGAGAAACACGCGCTGGTAATCCTCAACCTCTGAGGCAACAAATACCTGTAATTTAAACTACGGTTTGATTTTCATCTGCAGGGAATTAGTTGCTTTCTGAATATTTCACCCAACAACTTTGCATCAAATGTGGTTCATAATCACAACTACGTAAAATAGACAATAAATACTTCCTGGCATCACTGTTACTTTCCTGATCAAAACGTTGAGAAGCTCTCTAACTTTGATAAAATTGTTGTCTTTGCTTTCATGGTATTTGGATTTGAAACATGAAAAGCAATTTATTGGGTTGCTTGGCGGCTCTCCTGAGTTTGGGATTTAATGCGCAGGACAAAAAATGTTGTTTGTATATCATATATAAGTTGAACAAATATTTCCGAGACAATCAGCAATACTATCAATTAACAAAGATAATCTTAGTACTAAGACTAATTAATCCTGAAACACTGAACACTAACTCACCCCCCGTAAGGTTGAAATGTCAGGAAAACTGAGGAATTTCCTATGCACGCCAAGGAATACTTGAATTGTTTCACAGACAGTCACGTGATTTTTGTGGTGAAAAATCAAAACTCGCACATCCAAACACTGGAATATCTTTGTGATAAAAATACCAAATAAATCCTGATATTTCTTCTAGTAAAATCGTCGTTTAATACATTTCTGATATCAGATCTGTTGTACTTGGAATAAAAAGGTATTACTTTGTTTTGATTGTTTTTATAGTGTATATTTATTTGTGCAATTTGCAGAGTCTCAGATGTGCAAGAGAAAATTTTGAGGGCTGAAGTTTTCTATAAAGTTTTTAAATGATATTTATCCAAATTGGACAGAGATATAATAAGCATGTAAAAAGTTGCCTGATCACTATGTTCAAATTGTGATGTAGATTTAAACAGTTTAACCTCTGCCATTAATGAATTACACAGTTTTAATCTACAGTATTTCCCCAGAGTAAGGAATGTGGAATATCTGTTCTAGGGAAAGGGAGTTTAACTAAAAAATTTAAAAAATACAAATATGAGAGCAATCTATGAGAGGTATTAATTGTGCAAGTGTGAATTGATGCATTTATTATTAGTCAGTGACTCAGTGTACATATTTATATTCAGACATGTACAGTAACTATACAGTCTGGGGTATTAGGTTGGTTTATTAAATAAATTAAAAAGGAATTAGTTCTACTTTCTCGCTAAGTCATTTGATCAGTTTTGAAAATAATTACATTCTGCCCAACAACAACAAACTTCTGTCTTGATCAAGTCAAAATTTCATGATCATTATTAATACCATTCTTACTTTAGTAATATCCAAATGAGAAACTCAGCTATGTTATTACAAACTAATGACATGTGTGGTTTTTCAGGAGTTTCACTCAAGCTTCACACTTAGTAATTTCACTAGTTAAATATTACTTATATTTACAAGTTTCCAGTCCAGTATTCAAGATATCTGAGAGGTCAAAATATCAAGTTTTATAGCAACATTTATCTACTTCTGAGAATGTCATATTGAAAAATGTTATCATACTGAGGAATGTAGATTTTCTTGATATATATTATAAATAATTTATTGGTAATAAATATTCTTACTTCTACACTTGTGTCATCATGTGCCCTGGTATGAAATTGAAGCCCGAAGAGTCAAAATGAAATGAAGAATTTACTATTCATATGCGTTTGCAGAGTTTATATTTCAATTTACATCAGGGACGCTTATTTGAACATGAATATATAAATCCCCCCACCCACAATTAATCTTCTAGCTATATCCCTGATTTACAAGTACTTTTGCAGGGTTTTTAGTTGAAATCACTTCCCTAAAAAGTTTTCCTTGGGCGTATATCTTCTATATTACCAAAAATGTTAAGCTATATTTATTGTAATACTAGTATTTCTGAAATGTCCTAATGACACACATGACAGATTTTTTAAAAAATAATTTTAATTCAAACCCACAGAATGAAAGTTTTGTGAGACACAAAATCCATGCTCAGCCTGCCAACAACTGTTATATTTATTATGTCCATTCAGTCTCTTATTTCTTATATTCATATAATCATGTTTGCATATCGTAGGAACAATAGCGTACGAAAGAAATCAGTCATCATAAGACAAATATATGAATTTATTATATACACAAGCGCCAGATATGAGGTATGCTGCAATTTCATTGGTTGGCTACTAGACAGATATTAGCTCATATCTGTCTAGTAGAGAAAGTGAACAAAATGGCGGAAGGATTTGGGGAGTTGAGTGAAACAGAAATCCAAGCTTTAGTTGATAATAGCACACCAAAATGCACCGAAAGGGCGACAAAGTTTGTGTATATAATAAAACAGTTATTCTGCTCACTCTCGTCCTATATGGCCGATAGCTATCAGCTCATATACGACTCGAGTTCGCCGAATAACTGTAAAATACACACCGCCGCCCCCCCCCCCAATTAAGGTTCCAGCTACGACGCTGAAAACTCACAAATTTCTCACTAATATTTTTCATTCAATCCTTGCCACACTCCAGTACATGGAAATAATGTAATCTCTGTAGAGCATATGAAATGATATAGTGGCTCAGTTTATACTTGCACAGACACTAGTAGCAATTTTCATGCCACGTCCGCGTCGTAGAATTTGTACATGTATTGTTATGTTAATGTTAATATTGTAGCATCATATAGCATATAGGAAATCGAGGTTTTGAAGTAGCAACCGCGAAAATAAAGTACCACACAAGAACGTAAGCGGACGCAAATGTGGTCTGTAGTGAAGCGAAAACTACAGATTTAAACACTCAATTTTTGAACCACATTTGATATGCCTGTTTTGTGTGTAACATTTCATCTGGATCCTTGTTTAATATTGTTTCTGTTATAATTTTAGGAGGAGATCTACCATTATTTTGCTTATACACAATGTTGTATAATGTTGGTTGAGTGTTTACAGCGAGGACAACTCAAAGTTATTCAACTCGTGTGAGAAGTTCTCTGAGTCAAGGTGCGAATAATTTACTCAGTAAAAGATCCGTTTAATGTAGCTCCCTACAGCTAGTACAGTTTTACGTGATCTATAGTAAAAGATCCATTTAATGAGGCTCCCTACAGCTAGAACAGTTTTACGTGATCTATAGTAAAAGATCAGTTTAATGTAGATCCCTACAGCTAGTACAGTTTTACGTGATCTATAGTAAAAGATAAGTTTAATGTAGCTCCCTACAGCTAGTACAGTTTTACGTGATCTATAGTAAAAGATAAGTTTAATGAAGCTCCCTACAGCTAGTACAGTTTTACGTGATCTATAGTAAAAGATCAGTTTAATGTAGCTCCCTACAGCTAGTACAGTTTTACGTGATCTATAGTAAAAGATCAGTTTAATGTAGCTCCCTACAGCTAGTACAGTTTTACGTGATCTATAGTAAAAGATCAGTTTAATGTAGCTTCCTACAGCTAGTACAGTTTTACGTGATCTATAGTAAAAGATCAGTTTAATGTAGCTCCCTACAACTAGTACAGTTTTACATGATCTATGTAGATTAGCTAAACGTGCCTTGTCTATCTCTTTTGTTAAATATCGGCGAAAAACGTTCATTTATTTAATACAATCTCATCTATTAATCAACTCCCTACACCAATGTCATATAAACAACAGAGTGTTACTAGAGCATAGGTATTGAAATTGGTCAGGGTATGCATGTCTCGAGTAAAATTAGACTTCACATTGGCACATTCTGTGAGTTATTTAGACAATAAAAACTAGGAACTCAATTTTGGAGTTCATCATCAATGGAGAACTTGCATCGTCATCATGCACAATCGTATTGTCCCATTGATACCGATGGAAACACCAGAACAAGATTTAAGTCGTTGATGGCCACCAATTAGCATGAATTTAGATTTCTTCTCATTCAAGGTTAGGAGATTGTCTGTGAACCACTTTTGAACATTTGCCAGATCCTCGTTTAATTCAATACCTTGACTGTCTTTGAAGAAAAGTAAACGACAGTAACATTCTCATACATAGAGATATTACATGACTTGATACATTTGGGTAAATTGTTCACATTCACATAGATAATGAATAAAAGCGGCCCAAGAATGATTCCTTGTTTGACCCCTACATTCTCAGGCTTTACAGAGGACTGCTTATTATGAACGACTGTGAATTCGCATCTGTGCGTAAGATACGATTTGAACCATTCACAAACATTGAGAGGAAAAACCTATATAGTGTGTCCCAGAGCCACGCCTCCGCGAGGGAGCTCATTCCCCCGCTGATACCCCGTTATTTCAAAGACGTCTCCTTTTTTGATAGGACCTGACTTGTTAAGATTTTTTATATATTTTATATTATTTTTAAATAGCTGAAATTTAGCTGTCTCTTTCCCATATTATAACCTGTTCGTTCTTAGCTATTACAACGAGTAACAATTGTAGTTGAAGAGTAATTTAAACGCAGAGCCCAATACTAAAACTCCCAAACCCTAATAAGTTACTACATATATATGGCGTAGAAATGAATGAGGCCCCTTTCAAGCATGGACTATTCATGTTCCAAACCTAATGTTAATGAGATAAAGTCTTTGCCTAAGTTCATTTTGCAGTGAGGTAGATCTCCATATTTTCACGAGACGCAAATCAAAGTGAAAACGCTTTTTACGTGTTTATATCACTCTATAAAAAGCTTATAATTGATAAACCATACAACATCCTTTATATAATAGTATTATAAGAATTATTATCCTGACTGTGTCTCTTGTTTAGGGGATTGTGAAGTTAATATTTAAAGACAACAATGGATCCATTGAAAGCCAAAGCTAATTATTCCAGGGTATGTCATTTGTTGGTAGATAAAGGTGGAGATGTTTTGAGAAATGCTTTGCATGCGGTGCATCCACCTTCCACCTTAGCTTCCGTATTGAATGCAAACAAGAAGACCTTACAGAGAATACGATACAGTGTAATTAAGGCCTCGCAATGGGATCTACTCTTCCCAAGATCTGGTACACCAGATTCAAAAAACTTTGATATTACCCTATTGACTGTCCTACTCCGAAATATTTGTGGATTGTCCGCACCAGCCACCGGATGGAATGTGATGCCTCCAGTCAGCGATACTTCTATATCTGCAAATATTTTAAGAGTCAAAATGTTTAGAAATGAAGTCTATGGTCATATTCCGACTGCTGGTTTGGACGACGTAACGTTTGAAACATTGTGGCAAGAAATTTCTGTTCCGTTAGTCAGCTTGGGAATTCCTCAAAATGATATTGATGAATTAAAGGTGGCTCCTCTTAGCCCTGAAGAAGAAAGTTATATTGAAAGATTGAAAGAGTGGAAACAACAAGAGGATGATTTTATGTTAAAATTAAACGATGTTGAAAGTGAAGTAGTCAAACTAAGAAAGACAGTTGAAAATGTTCATCCCTCGCATGTCGAGCAACTGGCTAAATTTAACTTCACTGGAAAGATTCGTGACCTTTGTAGAAAATTTCAAGATGGCACCAGAAAGTGGTTGTTTGATAAACTTTCAAATTGGTTTGGGAGTCAAGAATCCAGGGTCTTGATCGTAACTGCAGGTCCAGGTGTTGGAAAAAGTGTTTTGTCTGCAAAGCTTTGCGAGCTTTTTAGAGAACGTGGTCAACTCGCAGCCCACCATTTCTGTGACTTTCGAAATTCTGATTCCAACAATCCTCAGAGAATCCTCCAGTCTCTTGCCAGTCAAATGTGTGATAATGTTGAAGGATTTCGTGATAAACTAACTGAAATTCTTCGTCGTGAACATTCTCGTGACTCGCTGTCAGACGCATTTCGTGTTCTTTTGAACGACCCCCTCCATGCCCTTGACAGACACGATCCAATGTTGATCATCGTTGATGCTTTGGACGAGAGCAAAACTGACGAGAAAAGCGAATTTTTGGAGTTGATATCCGAGAAGTTTTGTGAACTGCCAGATTGGATTAAGATATTCATTTCAAGTCGACCAGAGCTACAAGTACGAAAGATTCTTGAACATCTTCACCCGTGGGAAATCCGTCCTGATGACAAAGATCACAACCACGACATAGATCTTTTCGTTCGTCATAGTTTGCCTAATCTTGATGATAATAATATAAGGTCAGTTATTTCAAAGTGTGAGGGATCGTTTTTGTACGCTTATTACTTAGTCAGTGAATTGAAAGAAAAGGGCGTGGGAATTGAACCCGACCTAAGTGATTACATCTCCAACGGTATTTCCGGATATTACGAAAAACAGTTCAAACGTTTAGACATAGGCCTCCAACATTTCAAGCAAGATACCTCATGTCTCTTAAACAGTTTCATCAATGTCGTTGCCGTTCCTTGGCAGCCCCTCCCAATAAAAGTTCTTCTAACATGCATGGGTCTCTCTAAAGACGAGTTTAAAATACGTAAAGCGGTTCTTGACCTAATGTCAGAGATTCTTCCAGTTTACGATGGATGTCTGACTGTTTATCATAAGTCATTATGGGATTGGCTGACATTGAACGGTTATGAAGAACATGCATTCGTTGCAGATGTTGAAGACGGCAATAGACGTCTCTGGCGTGCTTGTAAGAAACAATTCTGCGAGATAGATGCTTCGAAATCTGTTTTAGAATTCCAAATTTCAGCCGAGAATATGTACGCTTTAGAAAATGGTTGGAAATATTTGGTCGATGCAGGCGAGGTAGAGGAATTTCATTGGTTGGTGCATGTTGGTATAAACTTCTTGAAACTAAAATTTTTTGATCGCCTGAACAGTTTCAGGCTAATTCTTGGCACGTACCGTTCTAAACTTTCCAAAGATATTTATTGGGGCCTCATTCAACACTTTGTTCTCCAAAGCGACACTTGCTTGATTGGAACATTAAGACTTATAGAAAAGATCTTTGTTACGTATATTTGCAAGCACTTGCTAATGGGCACTTTGATTTTTTACAAGGTGCTGTCAATTCCAAAAGTGTAGCTAGGGATATCTTGAGTGGGACAAATGAGATTTGGATAGAATATGTGACAACGGAAAGCTATTCTAATTTAAGCATTGTCCCCCAAACTGCGTTTCCAGACGATTCACTTTTAGATATTTTAGTGTCACCGGATCAGACGATGCTTGCTTGCGTACATGAAAATAAGCGAAAATTTCAAATGCTTAAAATACCAGATCTTACAACAATCTTTGAGGCACAAATTGCTATTGGAAGACCTCGTTGCGAATTCTTTGCCTTTTCTCCAGACTCTTCATATATTTTGTGGGATTCAATCCGGTTCTGCATCAATATTAAACAAAAAAAAGAGGTCCCCTTCATTACGCATGGCCCCAAATACATCAGTTACTGTTCATTTTCTTCATGTGGAATGAAACTTGTCACATCGGAGAAAACGTCAATCAAAGTGTGGGATGTAAAAAGCAAGAATATATTGGTTGAAGTTGAGAATGTTTATGATGAGCCATCTTATTGTTTGTTTAGTAATTGTAACTCGTACATTCTTCTTTGGCGAAAGGGTAGGGAAAAATTTGGTCTCCCAATCTTAGATTACATGAACGTCTTGAATTCTGAAACTTTAGAAAAGACTGATAACAAGAATATTCGTGTTGACCAGAATTTGTGTTGTAATGATTCCTTTCAATTGTTTTCACCGCCTCATTCGCTTTCCGACATGAATGTTAAAATGAAAATGAATTATATCTGTTTGCCATCTGGTGAGAAAGTTATAATTTTCAATAAATATTGTTCAAAAGTTTTTGTGTGGAAAGACAGAAAGTGTGTAGCATTTACAAATGATTTGAAAAATGATTTAGCTTTGGTTGTGTACGATTTCATAAATCAAAAGACCGTTGACGTGTTTGAGATTGGATTTTTGCCTTGTGATACTCGTGTCAATTACATTTCAAAATTAGATGAGACGAGTTTCCTTTTATCTTTAGAATTACCCAAAGTACTCAGCGTTTTATCCTTCAAATCTCTTCTCGAATGGCCTGATGCTACTTTTGTGAACAATGCCAGAATAGTTTGTCGTGCACTGTCTCCAGACACTTTGTATGTTGCGTGCTGTTTTGAAAATTGCCTTCTTTCAATAAGAAGTGTCGAGAGTGGGGAAACATTGCAAACTGTTGCACTGAAACAACGAGCATTAGCATGTTGGTGGTCAGAGTCGTATCTTTGGTTGGTCTGTGAAGGTCTGGTTGTTAAATATCGTTATGAACCTAGGAGTGAAAATATCTTAGGAAGTCAACATGAGGAATCTATTGTAAATTTTGAACGTGTCCTTGCATTTAAAAATGAAGTTCTTGTGATTTACCGCGATTGGAAACTTTCTATTTTAAGAATTTGTAACGAAAAACTGTTTTACCAAGAAACGCCGTCATGTAGGTTTACTGTCACTTCTGTCGCGATAAGTTCTGATGGCTGTGCTGTTATGTTATTGTCTTGTTTCAGTTCGTCTTATGAATTGTGGGAAATAAAATGTGGCAACACGTGGATTGTACGTACAACCGGAATGTTGCATATACCTGGTAATATTCGTTGGTGTTCTTTATCTGGTACAAAAACGACTCGCAATGCAGTGTTCTTTACAGAAGATCCATCGTCTCATTTTCGTTTACTTTGTATTACTTTTCCAAATGATGTGCAAAATTTTCATTACCTTCCTATTAAAGACTTTAGAGTGGCTGCTCATATCGATTCTGATTTGGTCGCTATTTTTGCCGTTGACTGGATACATTTTGTTAAGGTGTCGGAAGGCAGAATCATAGCTTCCAGAGGCTTTCGTGATTTTTCTTTTTTTAGCAATGTACTTCCTCCTCATCCACCTCCTTTTTTCCTTCCATCAACGCGTTCCTTTCTGTTCGTTGACAGAAATGCCAACAAATATTTAAAAATTCATAATATTGAAAAGTATTTCTAAGATTTCCTTTCTTGATGTAAGTAGTTTAGAATCCGATTTCTTGTTTAAATGCGAAAACCACGCGTAAATCAAAACGTTCAGCTATGGAACGTCCTGAAATGCGAAAACCACGGAAATCGTTGAAACGTTTTTTTTCGTTTTTCCTTTCGTGATGTAAATTGTTGAACAACATGTGTAAAACAATGTGCCCTCCCGGCTATCACCAGAGCGCAATGGTGACTCCTGCACTTGGGACACAGGACGTACGGTTACATATTGTTGGAATTGTATAGTGAAGTTGAGCATGGAATTTCTTGTTTTAACGGCGAAACGCACGCTAATTGTCTGATATATATATTTTTCTAAGAAAAAGCCGATTAACTTTTACATAGTCAACGAATTTAACAAACACGGAATGCGTCTATGAAAACGTTTGAACTGTGTAATATTAGTACAAAAATATTTTTTAAATATATTTTGTATCCAAAAGATTTTCCTGCTGTCTGTTTTTATAACCTGCGTGTGAGATCGATTAATTCACATACTTCCTTTGTGTACTTCTGATAAGCGTACATGAATATCCAGCCTCTTACTTGTTAAGCGTTCAGTTTATTCTACACACAATGATTCAGTATAATAGCCTTCTTTACTTGCTTTACTGTTCCTAACGGAAGACGATGAATGAAAAATCCTTCTATAATTAACATGGATCATTATTACATGTTTTTCCCCTTTGAGTAAAAAAAGGCTCTGAAAGAAAAGAAAAAATTACGCTGTGACTAAAGGAATACATTTTCAATTGTTTATGTTATTTTCCTGAAAGTTAAAGGTCTTTATGTCCCTATATATTAAAATATGATTTCTTCTATTAGAAATTAAAATCTAAAAGAAAATATTTTCGTAGCGAGGCAAACGAAGCTATAAAATGAAGGATATTTTTGTTCATCTTTCTTAATTTAGTCAGAGACTTGAGTGAAATGAATAACAAGGAAGGTTTAGGTCATTGATTTACCTGATCTAAAGTAGCTGGAATGAGTGAGGAATCATGGATATCTTTCTCTAGTTTCCTGTTTTGTCAGGCACACTTTTATCAGAAGTTTTTAGCATTCTATTTTTATATTCTAAAGCAATTTTTTGAAGCTCCTCTGGAAGATGAAGTACATAAACCTTTTGGAAAAGGAGAAAGAAGACTGTGGCGAAGCACAATTTCTTGGTGTAGTCGGGCTATAATCAGATCTTATTTTTTTCCTATATCAAAATCATATTTTTTTATGTCACCAGATACAAAAGACGATGTTTCTTTCGATCAAAATTTAGAAGAAAGCAAAGTATTCTCTAATTTTTGCTGTAGAAAACCTGACTAGCCTCGTTTTTGTGTATCTCGCAATAGGCCTCTTGCTCTACTTCGAATAGGTCCATGTATAGTGATGTGAGCCGGCGTCATGATGTAAGGGGCGGATTGCATGGGCGAGGCTGGCACGTTCCCTATAGTTATTATAGTCAATGCAAACGTTTCTGTTATGTGCAACCGCATATGGGCGTGGCGATTGGGGAGGGGGTTGGTGTGAGGGGTGTGACACCCCCTGATAATTCAGCATGATGAGAAAGTTGGTCAAATTGCTTTGTTACTTGTAAGCAAATTGATCAAATGTACAACGGCAACATTTGTTTTAGTATTTATGAATATTTAAGGCTCGTGTTATACTCGTTGACCAATCTCCTACACCCAGGTCATACACAAATTTTCATTTTCCATTATCAAAAGTAGGCCAATATTACGTGACATCCCTTCCAATCTTAGCTCGTTTGCCACGCCCCTGGTAAGTTGCCGGGGTAGAAGTTTGCATGTAATCGTTTTAGGCGCGCAAATTAAACTGGCCTAAAAGCACAAGAATGAATATAATACTTTAAAACCCAGGAAGGATTGAAATTATTAAGACATTTACACAATTGATTTCAAAAAATGTTCGCCAAACCACGGCATACTGAAGTCACTCAAGTGATCGTTTGCTGGGCAGACGTGCTATCCCGGTCCATGCAATCAGCCCCTAAATGGTATGATTAAATGTTGATTTTTGAATATCAGCGATGCATGCAATGATTTCGCGGTGATAGTTTCCTATTTCTCGAATATATTATTTATATTATTGTATAACCGTGAAGTTACAAGATAAAAGTATTTGTCATGCACATGCACGATATAATTTACCACGTATGTTTTTCTATACTCTATATAAATACAGTATATAAACATTTTTAAATATTTTATCTCTATGCTTAAAGCAAATAATAGTTAAGTAAATTAGCTTGTAGGTACTCCACGTAGGTAAGTATTGTAGTTGCTTGTAGTTTAAATATGACTCGATACTGTCGTTGTAACGGGAATGGACGTTGTAGACAAAGAATGTGTTTGTAGAACGATCCAGTTAGCATTAATTGTAAGCCTTGAAAGAACAAACGAATTGAAAATAAAAAAGCAGCTCGTCATTTTGTTGAAACTGTTATGTTTAAGAGAAAGTTTTGAACTGCTTCTGACATCGGAATGACCCAATGTTTTGCTTCTGTTTTTCCGTTATAAAGGTATAATGAAAATGGCACAAATTAATTCTGAAAGGCATATTTAATTGCTACTCAAATTAGTAAGATGGCTCCAGACGGTTTTAGCTAAGCTAAATAATGCAATATTTTGGTACTTTTTATCAAATGTGTACCAGGCAGTGGTACGAGGCTACTAATACGAATTCATGCATTTCTTGTTTGTTTCAACTGTAAATACATGCCTTATGCCATATAATAAACTTTATTAACCTCGCTCGCTCGCCCGGATCTTCGACCAGTCAGGAAAACTGAGGAATTTCACATGCACGTCAAGGAATACTTGAGTTTCTTCCACAGACAGTAAACTGTCACTGGTTTGATAATTGTTATTTATGAATTATGTGTTCAAAAAACAAACGAATTAGTTCGTCATATTTCTTCTGGTAAAACGATCTTTTAATAGATTACTGATATCCGCTCTATTGTACTTGGAATAAAAAGGTATTACTTTGTTTTGATTGTTTTTATTGTGTAATATTGAATCAATTTATATTAAATTTTTCAGCATTCTCATTCTTACGGCTACATCTTAAAATATTTATCAATAATTGATTATCAATTCAAGATCATACCGAAAATGTATAGCGAGAATATTTCAAACTATTAATAAATAATACAATATATTAGCAACATTAGATGAACTGTTTAACATTTAGAATCTTAGAGATTTTAATGATGAACACGCCACACACACATGCATCAGGATTCAGGATGATGCATAGCTGATCGATAGCTTGGTCTGAGTTGAGTCATTTTGTGTAACAGTTTCGCTTTACATGTAATAAGCAAATCAAATTGTGGACAAGATGCCTCTTGTCAGATTCTGGGTTATGATTACAGACAGGTTTTGGTTGGTCAAATATGTTGAATAAACACTAGATTGCTAGCTGTTGCGATACTTATCATGCATGGAAGGCGAGCTTTTTGTTAAAGGTGGGTTACAGTCCCTTTTGCGCATGAACGATAAGAATGTTTTGAGTAGCCTACTCATGTTACAATCATAACACGTTCCCAGTCCAAATAGCGTAATAACAACGCACGGCCGCCTTTATAATTTCTCTGACCTACTGGAAGGAGTGATGGCAAATTCTGATGCTCAAAGTTCGGATATAAATCCTTCCGAAATAAGCCGTCACACTAGGTCTGAGGCAAGAAGAAAATACGACAAAAAAGGAGACGCATCAAAAGTCTGTTTATTCGATACTTTCGAGAGGTGGAGAGCGTTTAAAGAAGAACATAAGCTCAAAACAGATCAGCCTGTTGCAGAGTTTCTGCTTGATCATTACGCCGTCAGAAACATATTATGGTAAGCGTAATGATGTATAACTAAACCTTTATGATTATTTTCTTTTTCCTTATGATTTTACATGTTCTTTAATGCTTTGTTAGTAATGTAGAAACGCAAACGGAGAACGCCACGACAATGTTGCCTTTGTCAACTGCGGGAATCACTCAGCATGTGTTCGCCAGGTAACAACGACAACGTCCTTGTTCTATTTTATCATGTTTACGTATTTTCAACATGCTTTCTTTATATGTAGTAAAGTCATCAGCACCCTATATGTCACTGAGATCAAGTCGATGAAGATTGACTCAGTCTGACCCTGAATCTCAAGAAGATACTCTTATATTGTCTTTTAGGTTTGTTGAGCATAATCCCGTCTATATATTTGCATTTTTTGCTTACAAAATTTCCATAACTTTATGCATTATTTATGTTTGTATATTTTGATACAGATCAAAGGAAGACCCAGACATGACTTTAACCGCTAGCGAAGGCAAAGCAAATATTTAGTCCTTCATTGTCTTTGAGGTTTGTTCATCAAAACATGCTTTGTGATTTGTGCGTTTGCTCAAAATCATTATACCTATTTTTTCTCTTTGGTGCCATTCATTTTAATACACCCCTTCATTTTAATATCACCCCACCACCCAGGGGGTTAGAAAAACATTTCTGCATATATAAATGCTCCATTGAGTAGTTAAACTAAGCAATTTATCAAGTGTGGTAGTGTGTACAGATGGTAAAGTATATTGGCTGGTTGATGATAACGGCCATAATGCACAAAGAACCCACCCCTCTTTCATATAAAAACAAAGGCAATACTCGAGCGATTAAAGATCAAAAAATGCAAATCAGGTCATATAGACAACAACAAAGCAAAGAATACACCCACTACCATCTGAACGAACAGCTACGTTCATATAAAGCGAAACACAGAGATATACATAAGAACACATATCCAAAAGAAACCAAAGTATCCAGTAACTACACTCAAACCAATCGGCCCCACATTTCTACAAAAAACCCAAAATCCCAAAAGTCCTCCTTTGGCTCGAGTAGACAGGACAACCGGCGGACTTTCCCACCAAAAGCCAACACTAATAACAGCGCTAACCGCCGGAAATCTGATCACAGAAACAGGCCTCCTTTTCAGTACTACAGGCGATCGGTTGGCTCCCAGTCAAGGAACATTTACAGTACAGAGATACACTAATGGCTTATAAATGCATGAACGAACTTGCACCGCCGTACTTATGTGACCAGTTTTTAAAACGAAATGCAGTTCACAACAAGAACACCCGGAATAAAGACGACCTTGACATTCCCCCATGCAAAACAACATCAGGTCAAAGAAGTTTTTGCTATAGAGCAATAAAAATCTGGAACATTTTAGATAAAGATTTTAAAAAACTACCTTTTAAAACATTTAAGAAGCACTTAAAGAAAAATATGTTAACAAATAACGTTAACGGAAACCTATCTTAGTTAAAGTATTAAAATCTTAGTATAACTATATAACTAGGATTTCTCTTAATTGTAAACATATTTTATAAACATAGCATAGTCAATAACGTAATTGTAGATAGAAATATACCTATTTTTAGCCTTGTTAGTACATACTGAAAAGCCCTATTGGGAGTATGTTTTATGTATAATAATAATAATAATAATAATAATAATAATTTATAAATACTTTGTTTTCCAGGCAGCAAAATCAAAATGCAATGAAGATCTCACACTTTGGGCACCATCCATTCTCATCACTCTCTGTCATGTCATCTGGATCACTTTCCATCATGGAGAAATCAAAATCCTAAAATAGTATATAATGGAATTAAATATTGGAATTCCATCTATGATGACGCAAAATCTATTATATTTTTACTAACACGAATTTTACACAATTACATATTTACAAGTATACCTTTATAGCACAAAAGATTTTATTACTTACTGCGTCATCACTATCACTCTCTTGTGCTCTTCGGTTGTTCATACACGACCCGAAATATTCCCCGTGGCACGCACTGGAACAAAAGCTATTCATGCTTTTACACGGGCAATAATTCCGCCCTCTTTCACGGAGACAGGCGCCGCGACAAGAACATTTAGTATTATTGTCTACGTTAGGAATTGCAGCTGCACTCTCGACCACACATTTGCTTCGAATTCATCCAACGATAAGCTTACTTCGCTTGCTTCTGCCATGACTGGAACAACGATACTGGTAAAATGTTTCGACGGAAAGATACCGCATGAATTTCATGTTTAGATTTAGTAACACTTTCAAAGTGATTACTTCCAAAGGTAAACACAGTGATGATAAAAACTTGCACTTTCGTAATTTCGCCGCTCGAGTTGCTGCTCTTTGATGACCGGCCTGGCCACACAGGGTTCAAAGCGGTCCTTTTTATCGCGATTTTTAAGTTGAGAGCCATATAAAGATTCAATAGTGCATAATAATCCCAAAAAAGTATTAAATTTGTAGATAAGTTTTATAACCGTAAACGACTTCACTCCTTTCAATGATTCAATCGAATATGAATATGATTAGCACTTGTGCAGTACTTCATGTAATATAGTATATGTGGATCACAACAAAAACAAAAAAACGTAAACAAAGCCCGCACATGCGCAAAAGGGACTGTAACCTACCTTTAAGTTTTTAGCCAGATTCAGACGTAATGTTTAGTCACTCTTAATTTAAACGCTGTGAAGTTCACATAAGAAAGCTTATATTTTGAAATGTAATTATGTTAAACCACGTGAAACATGGTTTCAGATGTAGGGTTGTGAACAGTGTTGTTTTAGTTCGGGAAGACATTTAGTCGCACTAAGGCACCCGTGTCACATATTATCAACGGGTGAAACCCATAAATATCAATTGACAAATGCGGGTCAGACCCATGTTAGATGATCATCTTGGTCATTTGAAACAAGGTTCATGACAGTGCTGGGACAGGCAGCCAATCAAAATTGCTGTTGCTTGGAATATACTGTATTTCAGTCATAATCAACTGCATCACTTTGATAGCATGCATATCGCAACTTTTGGGCTTAAAAACTGTTGTGATGGGAAGGAGAGGAAAGTCTATAATAGTTCAGACGCCGTTAAATGTGGATGTAGGCAATTTTAGAGGTTCAAATGAAAAGATACGTCCAATTATAAAAGCAAGTTTTTGCGGGTACGGCCCGCTGTAGATGATCATTTAAGCCATCCAAAATATACAATTTCAAGCGGATATGACATTTGTGTGAGGCACACGTTGTATACGCAAATTTTGTGCGAAATCGGTTGGAAGAACTGTCAATTTTGCTTTAGAAATTATCATCATTCAGTACCAATTGCGAAATGAAAAAGCTTCAGAAGGTTAGTGTAAAGACAATTGTCTTCGGAAGAAACGGAAAGTCTACACTACGTACGCCCTTAACTGTAGATGTGGGCAATACAAGCAAGGCCTCTGCTTCGGCTTCTGTCGACATTTCGGATCAGGAAAATGCGTATGGCATGTGTCATCATCTTTCTGATCACGAAGAAAATTTTGCTGACAACATTGGCCAAGAAGAATCCGCTGCTCATTTGCGAAATGTAAATAGCTTTAGTAATTGGGAGAAGATACGTCCAATGTTAATAAAAGCGAGCTTTGAAGACGCCAGTATGCCCGACAATGCTGTTTGCGGCAGTTGTTTAAACAAAGAAGCGTGCATCCGATGTCAATATTGTGGTGCGAGACAATTCTTTTGCAAGGAATGTGCACTTGCATTACACAAAAGTAGAAATCAATTTCACGTGTTGGAAGAGTGGGTGATAAGCTAATACTTAAAGTTTTGCCTTGATACATGTTACTTTATACAATATAACAATAAGCTAAATAATGATAATAATAAGAATAATATTTTTCTGTTTTCTAGGAGTGTAGGTTTGTCCCACTTTTTCCAAATCACTCATTAATTGATTCAGGTCATCAGTGCAATACGAAAGTGTCCAAGCTATTTACACTAGTGGATGCATTTGGTAAGTCTGTAAGACTGTAATTCTTGTCTGGGTTTGCTACTAATCAGATTGGTATGGGCAGAATGGGTCAGAGTTTAAAATCCTCCCTATAGCCTAAAGGGGACCTAAATGGAACCATGGCTGATGGTCCTGGGCTTGTTACAGACATTGCTAGCTTGTTTTAAATAATTAGGCTTTGAGAGGACTCTCTCTTTCTAAATTAGTAGCCTTTCAATGCCTTGTAGCCAATTCATTATGAGCCAAAGTTTTTAATTATAGCTTCCCTCCCTGCATTCAACATGGTTTTTTTGTGCTCTTTCACCATTATCACAAATCCTGAATAATAGCAAGAAATTTAATTTCAATTGCCTAATAGGTAATCAACACTTAAAACAAGTGTCAGTTTGTAGCTGTGAAAGCCATGCTGTTACACTAATTCGTGCTCATTTTTGGCCTGGATCTCCTGAGAGGCCCTCCATTGGGTTTCACCTGAAGTTAATGGATTTGGCTGAAAAGTTATTCCTTCATAATCAAGTTCCTCTAAAAGATTTCTGTGATCTAATAGGGGAATTACTACCATCAATGCAGCCTGTTCTTGTATGTATTGTTTATCCATGTTCATGCTATTACTAATATGATTTCTCTTTCAAGACTAGAGGTATTTTCTGAACATTGCCAATTATATTGTAATTGCCAATTATATTGTAATTGCAATTTAGGTTAAATCTTGGTATAGAACACTGAATTCTGGATCTTTTGAGGAGTATAGGTATGGTACTGCAGTTCATGTTTACAATATATCCAAAATGTGTGTATGTTTTATTGTTTTTTGAAAATGCTATATATACTGTACATGTTGCTAGATTTTGGCTAAATGTGAGATTGATTTAATTGTGGCAATGATTTAAAAGGAGATCGAGATTTTATTAGCTCTATTAGTGAGCACAAGGCTTATTAATGACACTAATGGAATGGCTACATTTACTGTAAAACACTAGTATTTCACTTTCAATTTATTATTTTTATTTAAGGTATTACAAATATAGACTAAGGTATTTGGATTGTTACATTCCTGGATTGTATAATGGTGTAACTTGTCCCTTGTGTCCAAAGGTAATTACCATATACAGTATAATCAACTGGGCTACTACATATAATTAAATATAATGTATCTATGTTAGATTATTGGATCCCACATTTTGCACAATAAGGACTATGGTTACATTCATAATATCTTTAGGATAAAGGAACCCTTATTGAATGTGTGGATGCATGTTTCGGCCTGGCAAGAAGGAAAGGAAAAGGGGATACAAGTATTTCATCAAGACATGGAACATTATTATTTAGTGACCAAGATGACGTTGATAATTTTGTGGATAACTATGAGCATACAAAAGAAAAATCAGTTCAACAGGTAATTAACAAGACTTAAACATTGATGAACCAAAGTAACTGCTGTTATGTATGGTTGATATCATACAATTATCTGTGATGTAAAAAGAGTCTAAATTGACTTACTTTATGTCTGGTAGTTACACTCCACTCACAACTAATATTCCATAATTACCAGACATTTTTAGGCAGGTAAGGTACATAGTTGACATGCCCATTCTCAGTCATAATGGATTAAACATGACATGCAATCTTCTTTTAAAATGTGGTATAACAAGTGCGTAAAATGAACAAAAACACAGCTGGAGGTTTTGGCCAATGGGCCTTCATCAAGTTATTGTAGTATGACTCTCCTGACAAAGGCCCTCAGGTCAAAAGCTGAAGAAGTGTTAAAGTCTTTTTTAGGCAGTTTTTATACCACATTTCAAGTAAATTTGTTTGAGGATGCTGCCATGCTATTTCCTGGTTATATTCCAAGATTCTTGGACTTCTCAGAATAGGCATTTTTATTTATCTTATCACAGCCACAGGACTGCAGTAGATTCCATGCTGGTGAAGTTATTCCTGCACTGAGAAGCAAAGGTCGAAACCAACTTTTTGATGAAAAGGGAGTATTTGCAAGGGTTTGCAGGCATGACTTTCCTAAAAGTTTGATGAGCATTAAACATGGTGAAAGGTAAATAGCTACTGGTACATACATGTAATTAACAATAAGCTGACCATCTCTGCTTTACATTTGTTTCGTGAGATGAAATGTCAAATGATAAGTTGATGAGAGTGTACAATGTGTGTGTGTGTGTGTGTACAATTAGAGTGTTCACTATGTACGTTAGTTTCCAGTTGCCCCATGTATAATACAATATACTATAAATTATCTTCTATAGGATTTCGTACTCGGTCTACGAGTTGGAAAAGCTTAAAGCAAGCATCTCGTCAAATGCATTAAATATTGTTTTAATGTATGACATCGCATGTCTGTTATCAAATCATCTTCAGGTTGGCAATACTGACAAACTTCATATTGATAGAAGATGCGTGCACTGTAGCATGCCAGTCTTTTTGAAGTTGGTAATTGAATATTCCGTTAGGTTTCTGATCAAGGATCTTTGTTGTCTGACACAAGTCTGGCTATACCCATATTTCACAGTTATGGTCACAAAGCTTCTTGTCAGGTATTGATGATTATTTATAGTCTAAATTGATATGTCATATATGGTCATGAGAAACATATGGTCATTTTGTATGATTGGATAAGTTTGGCGTGGCAATTTTTAATCATACAGGATTTATCATACAGGATGTTTCATATTTTCCTGGCGCATTAGTATGTAGTCATTTTACTAATGATTTCCTTTTCGAATTTTAGGTAAAATACAGTCCGCGAAGGACCGAAAATATTGGCTTGACCGATGGCGAAGGTGTGGAAAGATTGTGGTCATTCATGAGACAATTTTCGGCCATTACCAAAGAAATGTCAGTTGACAAAAGAGTTGATGTTTTGACAGATGCTTCAATTCATTACGGCGAACACCTTGTAGCTAAATACGGTAAAGAAATAAGAATGATTGTTATATAGGTGCTGTGTATTTTAAATTTGGTTGGTTCATTCGTAGTGACATGATTTTAAATAAATGCAATTTTCCCTGGCGGGAAACAAGTGAAAAATTGCATGTTGCCTGCTTCTTGTCATAACAAAGTAAAGTGGGTTTTTTTTAATGAAATTGTTTTTTGATATGTATGTTTTTGTTCCTATATAACAACAACTTAATGTACACTACCTCGGGAAATAGTGAGTTTTGTTTTACCTAGAGTCTCAGTGTTTTCCTCGACTTCGTCTCGGGAAACATTCAGACTCTTGGGAAAACAATACTCGCTATTTCCCTCGGAAGCTAGCATACATCAAGTGCATAATATTATGACCCAAGTATATGTTTTTATAGTATCATTTTTTATACTTTAGGCCCAATGTTAATGGCAAAACACTTTCGGACCACATCATTATTGACTACTGTTGAAGCAGAGTTGAGCAATCTTTTGACAAATCTACCAGGTACGAAGAAAACTTTAGACTTGTTTATAGGTTACTCTGTCAAATATTTATGTTATAGATGGATGTAACGAGACAGTCATTAGGGCATGGATTGAAGAAGAAGAAAAAGAAATATCACCAGTGACAGAAAGTAATGCCCAATATTTTTCTAAGTGGGAACAGAACTGTTCAACGCAATTACGTTGATCAGTTCCTGCGTTTTAGACTAGTACAGTATCTTACTTTAGTTACAGCATTATCATTATCCATTATGGCGACTTTTTTATACTTAGACCTGGACTATCAGTGGGATGAGTCCTATGTTGATTTGCTACTTACTTCCAAGAAATTAAGGTACAGTAAGACGAAGGATGAAATAATCGCTCGATGATATAAACGATTTACAGCAATTATTTTTCGTTGGAGCCTTACAAACCCACTGCCCACGCGTTTTCTTGCAACATTGCATTTTTTTAAAAAAATCGGTGAATAACTAGTGAAAATGTTTAATTATACCAGAGCGGGATATGTTATATATGTTATAGGAATGAATTGAACTACGCTCAGGAAGAAGAGCCAGAACGGATGCCTGTGATTGAGAAGAAAAATAAGAGGTAAAGTACTGCTGTATATCATTTGCAATTGATGTTGGCAAAGGTATCCTTTGAATGATTCACCGGTTCTGCTCAAAAGCGAAAAAATGCGATTCTCGCATCCAGAGGCCGTGACTAATCTAATTGACTTATGATCGACAGGAACGAAAAAGCTTTATCAGGAATGGAAAGAAAACAGGGTGTGCGAAAGAGATGGGAAGAAGGTGAACAGGCTTTTGAGAATGCTTCAAAAAGGCTAAATGTCAAGAAACGACAAACCATTCTACTCACTCTTCATCGTATGGCATCCGAGAGAGTCTTTAGGCAAAGTATGCAGGTATTGAATACAGATATCATGTATTTGATATTATGAAAATACCCTGGCATGGTAAGTTCCGTAAAAGAAAAATGGTTGTTTAGCAAAGTGACGTATTTTTATTTTAGATGGACAAGCAATTGCCATTAAGCTTGGGAACCAAATTGATCGCGTGGTTTCCAATATGAAGCGTAATCTTGGTGTCATTAATGGACTGTCTGACAGTGTCATGTCCTTCGACGACATAAAGAATCCTGTTGGAGAAATATTTCGCAGTGTCACGGTTGCTAATAAAGAAGCAGACACACCTATCCGCATAAAAAAAAGGGCAATTGAATTGTTTTGCCTAAAAGAAAGGTGCAAAGAAGAAATTGTTTTGCTTCGAAATGAAATGTTGGAATTTTCTTCATTTTTTCTTAGTCAGATAGAAATTATCAAGTCTTTTCTGGGTCAAGAAGTGCTTGAGAAAGATGTAATTGGTTTGCGTTCTCTTGCAAGGTCAAAAATGGTATATTATCAGCAACAATTACAGAGCCTTAAAAAGATATGGTCTGATATAGTGGTCATACCTGTCCCAGATCATAATATCGTAACGTTTCAGCTAGCAACACCGTCTCAGAGTGTAGGAGGTTCGATTGAAGTAGACGATGTGGAATTCGATGAAGCAATGGATGGCATACACGTGTAATTTTAAACAGCTCGTGTTAATTTCAATCCTACCGTGTATGAATTACATGTGACTGAGAAACAAATTTCACTTTAGAATATTATTATTAGCTGGAACTAATTATTAACTTTCTGCCTATAGCATAAGATGTTTTTACAAAAAAATTCCTAGACCCTTCCTAGGTACATTCATAATACAAATTATAAAATATAATAATTTAAATAAAAATTCAACGCTGTAAATTGTTATTCACAGCCTCCGATTAACTATAAATGTTTGAATTCCTCCTCTCCAACGACTGGCGTCATTTATCATATTAGTGAAAGTTACCCCAATATTAGAAGTCATAAAACGGGTGTCAAATTTCCTTTGTTGGGGTAAGGTTTGTCATGATCGATATAGTTTATAATATTCTTGTAGCATATTAGTAAAAGTTACCCTAATATTAGAATTCATAAAACAGGTGTCAAATTTCATTTGTTGGGGTAAGGTTTGTCAAGATCGATATAGTTTATAATATTCTTGTAGCATATTAGTAAAAGTTACCCTAATATTAGAATTCATAAAACAGGTGTCAAATTTCATTTCTTGGGGTAAGGTTTGTCAAGATCGATATAGTTTATAATAGTCTTGTGCCATATTAGTAAAAGTTACCCCAATATTAGAAGTCATAAAACGGGTGTCAAATTTCCTTTGTTGGGGTAAGGTTTGTCAAGATCGATATAGTTTATAATATTCTTGTAGCATATTAGTAAAAGTTACCCTAATATTAGAATTCATAAAACGGGTGTCAAATTTCATTTGTTGGGGTAAGGTTTGTCAAGATCGATATAGTTTATAATATTCTTGTAGCATATTAGTAAAAGTTAACCTAATATTAGAATTCATAAAACGGGTGTCAAATTTCCTTTGTTGGGGTAAGGTTTGTCAAGATCGATATAGTCTGTAATATTCTTGTAGCATATTAGTAAAAGTTACCCCAATATTAGAAGTCATAAAACGGGTGTCAAATTTCATTTCTTGGGGTAAGGTTTGTCAAGATCGATATAGTTTATAATATTCTTGTAGCATATTAGTAAAAGTTACCCCAATATTAGAAGTCATAAAACGGGTGTCAAATTTCCTTTGTTGGGGTAAGGTTTGTCAAGATCGATATAGTTTATAATATTCTTGTAGCATATTAGTAAAAGTTACCCTAATATTAGAATTCATAAAACGGGTGTCAAATTTCATTTGTTGGGGTAAGGTTTGTCAAGATCGATATAGTTTATAATATTCTTGTAGCATATTAGTAAAAGTTAACCTAATATTAGAATTCATAAAACGGGTGTCAAATTTCCTTTGTTGGGGTAAGGTTTGTCAAGATCGATATAGTTTATAATATTCTTGTAGCATATTAGTAAAAGTTACCCTAATATTAGAATTCATAAAACAGGTGTCAAATTTCATTTCTTGGGGTAAGGTTTGTCAAGATCGATATAGTTTATAATATTCTTGTAGCATATTAGTAAAAGTTACCCCAATATTAGAAGTCATAAAACGGGTGTCAAATTTCATTTCTTGGGGTAAGGTTTGTCAAGATCGATATAGTTTATAATATTCTTGTAGCATATTAGTAAAAGTTACCCCAATATTAGAAGTCATAAAACGGGTGTCAAATTTCATTTCTTGGGGTAAGGTTTGTCAAGATCGATATAGTTTATAATATTCTTGTAGCATATTAGTAAAAGTTACCCTAATATTAGAATTCATAAAACAGGTGTCAAATTTCATTTCTTGGGGTAAGGTTTGTCAAGATCGATATAGTTTATAATATTCTTGTAGCACATGAGTAAAAGTTACCCTAATATTAGAATTCATAAAACGGGTGTCAAATTTCCTTTGTTGGGGTAAGGTTTGTCAAGATCGATATAGTTTATAATATTCTTGTAGCATATTAGTAAAAGTTACCCTAATATTAGAATTCATAAAACAGGTGTCAAATTTCATTTCTTGGGGTAAGGTTTGTCAAGATCGATATAGTTTATAATATTCTTGTAGCATATTAGTAAAAGTTACTGTAACGGCCGCAGCGCAAGCTTTATGTGAAACGATGACGATTTTGCTTACGTCACGACGCGTTGAAAAGTTCGAAGAAACAAAATGCAGGATATATTTTACAGGCAACAATTTAATGTCTTGAACAGGTAACAAAGCTTACTCGAGGATCAATAGAGTTGTCGATTATAGTTGTCGTAAACTAAATAACAAATGTATGAAAAACTAAACTCATGCATTACTAAATAATATAACAATCCACTTACTTAATAAGAAGCCTATTTGGCTTACATGCACTTATACTAAAGATTTACCGAGATGGACATCATGCGTTCTAAAACAAGGCGATCCTTCAACTCTAGTCATGCAAATTGCTAAAACTATACGCTAACAAAGAAACTATACACAAACTAAAACAATTGTAAAAATAAACTTACATAACAGTCCCGCTTGTCGAGGCGATGCGCAAACCACGATATCCACTATTGGCGCGACTACGAAATGCTTATAAACGAGTACCTTATTTTGTACTTTACGACACGAATTTTAAGTGCGACTGTGCTTGACGAATGCACAGAACCAACTGAGCGAAAACAGTGATTTACGCAAAGTTTGCTTGCTTCAAATCGGAACTTGCTACCGCGTCATATTAACCGCTAATTACTAAAGGTTCCTGTTATTGTTCTTGCTTAATGAAGCTGAAAGCTGCTACATGGCTCCCCTGAAATTATTACATTTCACTTCTTTATTATTATATTCAAAATAACTATTAATCTAAATACTACTAAATGTTTATATAGAAGAAAGGATACAAGGTTCCTCGACGGGGAATCGACTTCATACGACTTCTGCTTCTTGTACCAACACCAGCTTCTGGATAGGGCGTTCCAGATATCTTGATTGTTTAGTAGATTTTCCTTTGTTGTCGATTGTGCCATCAGCAACTATTAATTTCACGGAACGAACATGACCATCAGCACTTTCGTAGACTTCCACAATCCTAGCCAGATGCCAATGGTTGCGGCTGGTTTCGCCATCATCTTTAATCAACACGATATCTCCTACTTTCGAATCTCGGCGCGATTTTTTCCATCTTTGTCGTTCTTGCAAGGCCAGTAGATACTCCTTCTTCCACCGAATCCAGAACTCATTTGCTAGATGCTGAACTCGTCTCCACCTCTGCTTGCAATACATGTCCGCCGATTGGAAAACACCAGGTGGGGGTAGCAATACTTTAGTTTTCATGGTTAGCAGATGGTTAGGCGTTAATGGGTTTGGAGACTTAGGGTCGTTAATGTACTCCACTGTGAGGGGACGGCTGTTTACAATGGCTTCTGCCTCACATATGAAAGTCACGAGCGCTTCATGATTTAATTGGGCAGCATTCCTTTCGAGAATCGCTGACAATACATTTCTAACAGTACGAATTTGCCGCTCCCATACGCCACCCATATGACTAGCCGAAGGAACGTTCATATTGAATTCGAACCAATCACAGTTGACGTGCTGCAACTGCTGTCTTATCTTATCATGATCCAGTTCTTGCAATGCTTCTCTTAATTGTCTCTTAGCTCCTACAAAGTTTGTACCTTGATCACTTCGTAACTGCCGAATGGGACCTCTTCTACTTAGAAATCTGCGGAGTGCATTAATGAAGGAATCTGTGTCAAGGCTTACTGCGACCTCGATATGTACAGCTCTCGATGCCATACATGTGAACAGAACTCCATACCTTTTAAGTTCCTTACGACATTCCTTGATAATGAAAGGCCCAAAGTAGTCGACAGCACAATTTGTAAAGGGCGGCGCAGGTTCTAAACGATCGGGTGGCAATATGGCCATACGCTGCTCTTGAACACTTCCACGTAGTTTGCGACAGGTCACGCATTTACTTATGGCTCGAGAGACAACCGAGGACGCACCGAGAATCCAGTATCCATTTTCTCTAATTTCACTCAGGGTTATACCTTTTCCTTGATGATGAACTTTATGATGAAAATATCTGGCAATCAAATCCGTAACATGATTGTTTTTCGGTAGTACTACAGGGTGTACGCACTGTCCGGCCAGATTTGACAACTGAAGACGACCGCCAACTCTAATAACGTCCTCCGAATCCTTATATGGATCCAGGTTAGCTAAAGGACCGGAGTTCGAAACGCTCATATCAACATGGCGTTGAGCGGCTTTAATAATTATTACTCCGGCTTGGCGTAACTCTTCAACAGAAACGGGAATCATAGCTCTCTTACGTATGTTCTTCGTTCTTTTATGGCGCTTATATTCTTCACCCTTAACTTTGGTTTTAAGGATGTTTACATATCGAAGACACAACGCAAACGCCTTTCTCGCTCGATGCCAATCTGAGAAGTACGAGACTCGCTCTAGTAACGTAGGAAACGGCACTTCAGCAACTATGGCGAAGGAAACAACCTTTTTCACTTCGGGGTCATCTTCTGCGAGTGTCAGACTGTCTCCACTTGCTTTCGTCACATTTGACCAGGCAGCTTGGTCTTTCCACAGGAAGTCTGGTCCGATAATCCATTTAGAGTTGGATAATTGGCTTGGTCGTAAACCCCGAGAACCTTCGTCTGCTGGGTTGTGTTTCGTGTCGACATACGCCCATTGCTCGAACGATGAGCTTTCTTGTATTCGCTGTACTCGATTGGCCACAAATACGTGGAATCGTCGAACCGAATTGCCGATGTATCCCAGAACTACTTGACTGTCAGTCCAGAAGAATTCTTTCTCGATCGTCATATCCAACTCTCGATGCAATTGCTCGCTCACTTTCACTGAAACAACTGCGGCGGTGAGCTCCAACCTTGGCACTGTTACCACTTTCAATGGCGTAACTCTCGACTTTCCAAGAACGAAGGAGCAATGGACTTTGCCATCAACGTCAACCAGGCGAAGGTAACTGCACTGACTATATCCCTTAAAACTAGCATCAGAGAAATGATGAAGCTCGGATTTCGCGATGGGACCGAAGTCCTTTGGCTTGTAGCAACGTGGAATTGAGAACAACTCTAACTCCTTTAGCTCGGATTTCCACTTGCACCATCTTATGCGCATGTCTTCCGGTACTGGGTCGTCCCAGCCAAGTTTAATACGACAGAGTTCTTGTAAGATCGATTTTCCCTCTAGAAGTACTGGTGCGACGAATCCAAGAGGATCGAATACGGAACTCACTGTCGAAAGAATGCCACGTCTTGTGCAGGGACGCTCTTTAAGAGCAATGGTGAACTTGAACACGTCCGTTTCGATGGACCAAAGAACTCCAAGCGCTCGCTCCATCAACTGAGTTTCTTGCTCGAAATTTAGATTTTTGACTTCTTCTGCTCGATCACCTGCTGGATCTGTTCAAGGACTTCTTTGCTATTTGAAGTAAATTTGTGGAGGTTGAACCCACCCCGTTTGCACATTTCCTTTACATCACGAATCAGTTGAACTGCGGCGTTCACGGTCGATACTGATTTTAATCCGTCGTCAACATAGAAATTGCGTCGAAGAAATTTGGCTGCCTCTTCGCCGACAGTCTCTTCGTTATCATCAGCTGCTGACCTAAGGGCGAAATTTGAACAGCCTGGGGACGAAGCTGCTCCGAAAAGATGAACTGTCATTCGGTATTCCTCGGGTTCTTTCGATGTGTCTCCGTTTTCCCACCACAAAGAGCGAAGGAAATCTCGACATGCCTCCGGTACCTTGACTTGATAAAACATCGCCTCGATGTCGCACATAACAGCGACTGGCTCACTACGAAATCTGCATAGGACGCCCGTCAAGTTGTTTGTCAAGTCTGGACCTTGCAAGAGATGATTGTTTAGGGATTCGCCGTGGAACTGGGCAGAACAATCGAACACCACACGTATCTTGTTGGGTTTCTTTGGGTGGTAAACGCCATGATGAGGTATATACCATACGGGTTTATCTGTGACCTTTCTTTGCTGCACTGGAACCTTCTCGGCATAGCCACTGTCGATGACCTTCTGCATGAATTTCAGGTAGTCTTCTCGATAGGCAGCATTGGATTCGAGACGTTTCTTTAGAGGCCTTAATCGATTCACCGCCATTGACCTGTTGTTTGGAAGTTTAGCAGTCTGGTCTTTAAACGGAAGAGGTATCTCGTATTTTCCATCTTGATGACATATTCCGTTCTTTACAATCTCTAGAAACCTTCTATCTTCCCTTGATAGCGCTGATTCTTCCCTTTCTCTTTCCGAGAAGTCGAGCTCAAACATTCTATTAATATCCTTTGGATTAATAACTTCTTTGGGTCGAGTGTCCAGGACAAATTTATCCGCCAGCCTTGCGCTTCCGACTTCACGGGTTACGATCCTGTGGCATGTAGAATACTCATCGCTGGCCGACCATTTCGTGTTTGTTGGACCGATTATACCCCATCCAAAACGTGTTTTCACTGCGTACGGATCGTCTTCACCACCGGGAATAACCTTCTGCGGTTTCAAAGCCTTTGGGCAATTACAGCCAATAAGCAGACCAATCTCCATACTTGCTTGCAGAGGCGGTATCTCGTCCTTTATAACTTCGAAATGGGACCATCTGTTTGCTACTGAGGGCGTTGGTATCTGTTCTCTTCTCGATGGAATAGCTTCCCTTGAATACGCCTTTGGAAGAGATATTGGCTCTTCAGTTCTGTCTAGCTTTTGTACCACCAGTCCATCGATTCTCTGCACCGCAACACTGGTTTTGCCATGCATGGTGTTTAGCTTTAACGATACTTCAGTTCCATTCACACCAAGCTCTCTCAGCACCGAGTTCTTTACAAAGGTGGAATCACTTCCGTCGTCGAGTAAGGCGTAGACGTTAACTTCGACGTCCGGACGATCTTTGTGGCTGACTGCCACAGGAACAAACATGGCCGTAACAATATCCTTGTCTTCGGCAACGTTCGACGAACCACAGATACGGGCTGAATTTGCAGATTCGTTTGATAGCGATGCGTCGTCGTCATCATTTGCCTTGTCTTGGCCGGGATATTCCTTTTCTTCCTTGCTGGTGGAACGCCTCTTCGGTTTGATACCATGTAACGACGTGGGATGCTGTTTACCACACTCTTCACACTTCATTCTCGATCGACAAACGGATGACAAGTGTCCCTTTTTGAAACATCCAAAGCATAGGCGCTGATTCAGCACGAAGTCTCGCCTCTCGTCGAGGGTTTTACTTTTGAATTCGGGGCATTTCTCCAGACTGTGTCCTTTAGAGCATGAAGGACATTTCGAAAACATTTGTCGTCTTTGCGATCCGAAATTTGAGGAATTCTGCTCGTTTCGCTGGCTGTTCGTCGCACACGCAAAGCTACCGGCCTTGGTTTGTATCCCATATCGTCCCTTAGGCTTGCTATCTAATTTTTCGTTCGACTTTCTCTCCTTTTTTAAGGCATCCGGTGAGAAAACTGGGTCGTTAGCGATATCGGATTCTTCTTTAACAAACTTAACAAAATCACTAAAGGTCACCGACCCAGACTTCGACCTTTTTTCGTAGGCCTGGCGACACCACTTTGTTCCAGAATAGGAGGGAAGCTTGGCGCTTATTTTGCTTAACGTATGACTCGAGTCGAGCTCGTTTGCCGACCCTACAGCCTTTACGGCTTTCTTGCAACGAATTAAAAAATCCGAAAATGTCCGTACTCCAGCGCTATCGCCATCCTTAATAGGGAGCCAATTACGTAATCGTGACTTATACGCTTCCGCCACATGCACGGGATTACCAAACCTTTCATCAAGCAATTTTCGAGCCTCTTTATATGCGTCATCCGAATTAACCGCTAAGAAACCTTTCACCACATCATTAGCCTGCCCGGTAGTGTACTTGTTCAGAAAGTAAAGACGATCCTTATCTGCTGAAACGTTATCACAAATTATAGAGTCAAATGCCGTAGTGAACGCAGGATAGTCAAATACATTGCCATTAAAGGTAGGTGGTTCCTTAACTGGTAGGCGGTTGGTTACGTGTTGCTTGGTTAAAAGGGCACTTAGCTCAGCTTGTTTCGTTTGCACTTCAACTAATTGCTGTAAAGTGTTCATTACCGGAGGGTAGGTTTGCGTCGGCGTTACAGGATTAGATGTCATAGGCTGCGTGGGTGTTTTTAAAATTGGTCTCTGAAGTTCGGGTTTTAATTGATTGTTATTACTACAACCATTACGTTGTTCGACCGGTGCAAACAAATGCGGAGATTGTATATACGACATTGCTGGTTTTAAGACAATTTAGGTGAGTTAGGTCAGCCTGGTCAGGCTTTGTATCTATATCTTTGCTTAATGGACGTTGGCACACGTTAGGTTCTGACATTTGATCCTCCTCTATAATACGCTTATAGGCTTGTTCCTCAGCTTCTGCAATTGCAACTTCCTTAAGCAACTGAAGCCGGCGCGAATCCTTTTCCTTTTCGAGAAAGTCCAACTCAACGCGTAGTTTTGCTGATTTCGCGGCTGCTTCTAATCGCATAGACTGCGCAGAACGTGAGCTCGTTATGCTTTCGGAACGTCGTGACTTGGCCGAAATGATTGAATTGGCTCGAGTGCAGTTTCTCTCTAGCGTTTGTATGCGCTCTGTCAATCTAAGCCTACAGTAAATTCTCGGTCTCGAATGTCAAACCAACTATACGATGCCAATCTATCTTCCTCGTTTTCAATCATATCGTACAATTCCATATGCGCATGGTTGAATTCATCCTTTAATGTATCAAGCATATCTCGATTTTCCGCAAGCACGCGCAAGTCGCTTTCCGCTTCGAGCATCTCATGTGTCGATTTTATTTTGCTTGCCAAATTGCGGTAACAATTTTGGCGTTTTTGGCCCAAAAGTTCTAATTGGTAAATCCTACCCTTTTCCGTGGGTTTCCTCAATCGATTGCCAATTTCATTGCCAGTGGCCGGGTAAACAATGTTTTGGTTTTCCGTTGACGCAGTTGGTTGGTTTTCCTGTTTTTCAATTGAACGATTTTCTGTGCCAACTTCTCCACGTTGTTGGTCACATGATTCGAAATTTTCTCGAGTATATGGATCCGAAACGGGCTTGTTCTCATCTGTGGACATCTCAGGTTTTGATTTATCATGAATTAACGAAACACGACTCGTCAATCGGTGTTATTTTACTGTAACGGCCGCAGCGCAAGCTTTATGTGAAACGATGACGATTTTGCTTACGTCACGACGCGTTGAAAAGTTCGAAGAAACAAAATGCAGGATATATTTTACAGGCAACAATTTAATGTCTTGAACAGGTAACAAAGCTTACTCGAGGATCAATAGAGTTGTCAATTATAGTTGTCGTAAACTAAATAACAAATGTATGAAAAACTAAACTCATGCATTACTAAATAATATAACAATCCACTTACTCATTCCCGTCCGGTGTAGATTAATTTCGGACGTTTCAGTCCGACTTTTTTAAAATTCCAATAGCTCTGCGAATGCGCGAGCAAAAAACACATAAATACCACCAAAATATAGCTCGAGAAAAATACTATAACCCAATCGCTTCTGTTTTAATCCGGAAATTAATAAATATTTCTGTTAACCTGGCACCGCAGTGCAGCTGTCAAAATCATGTCAAATTACAAGGTGATGACAACCGGAAATATAACTCGCCTTTGGAATTTCGTTATTTTCTTCGTTATTTTTCATCCTTTCGTATTTTAACCGTTATATATAAACTAGAAATGCTTTAGTTATCTTTTCTGATAGTTTTTGAGTCAGGATGGGCAGAAAAACTCGAAAAATATCGATTTTTCTGATTTGTTATTGTTTGTAGCGAGACGCCTTGCTCAGCGCACGCACATGCGGTTGTCGCGTGAGCTTAGAGGTGTCAAAAACTCAACGTTGCCTACCCCCTAGGGGTAAAATAAGCCCGGAAATCGATTCCTGGGGTAAAAATGTCCCTAGAAGTCATATATTCGGCCTTTTTGGAGCGAAAATTTTCCGATTTTTTGTCAAATTTTCGCCAATATGGTGATAATTATATGCAAATTTTCGGGTTTTCCGTTTGTAAACACGTTTGTTGGAAATATCACTACAAATCGCCAAAACGACTGTATTTCAAGCAAAATAGATGGAAATATTGATCACAATGTAAGCTATAAACATTTGGAGGTTTTTAGGCGAGATTTCTGGAAGGCTTTGCGTATTTTCGCTTCTCTAAAATTCAATTTCAAAAGTACAAGATCGGCAATAAATATCTTGGCTTATAGGAAAGCTATTGAAATGAACTAAACTTACATATATAGATAAATGTTTTAGCTTTAAGATAATACAATTTCTAGTTGATTAGGTAAAATACTTGCAGATAAAATCGAATTTTTTTGCGTGCGTCGTTTACAATAAGAAGCCTATTTGGCTTACATGCACTTATACTAAAGATTTACCGAGATGGACATCATGCGTTCTAAAACAAGGCGATCCTTCAACTCTAGTCATGCAAATTGCTAAAACTATACGCTAACAAAGAAACTATACACAAACTAAAACAATTGTAAAAATAAACTTACATAACAGTCCCGCTTGTCGAGGCGATGCGCAAACCACGATATCCAGGCGCGGATCCAGACCGTATCGAACGTGGCTCGAGCCACGGTCAGATTTTCCCATCCAGAATTTTCCCATCTGCAATCTAATATTCACACATTATTTAGAAGTACATATTAATTCTTTGAGTCACACCAGAATTAGGGAAATATATGTCTAAAACAAATAATTTGAGTAATATCTTTCGTAATCGTTGTCATATTATTACCAATTCCTGCTAAAAGTGGTAACAAATTCCCAATTATTATTCCTTGTTTCATATTATGATTGTTCAGTTAACACTGAACTATAAAATTCGCCGAAAGCTTGCCGAATTGTGCCGAGTATGTTCGGAAGCTAGTCGTGCATTCGAAGCTGCGATCACAGCAACTAGTTGACACGGTCAGCGTGCAGATTATTGCGCAATTGTTACTAAATATAGTAACGTTCGGACACGGTGCAGTGTAGCAAACCAATCACAGGGCAAGCTTTTGCCACGTGAGCCACGGTGCGACACGGTGCGACACGGTGGCCTTTTTGATTGCGCAGTAAACATGATAAACAATAAAGTTCGACACTTCTCGACTTCGAACTCGGATATAGTTTACAAATAACATGTTAAATTGGTCTGTTCGCTGCATCCTGGCTGATTCAGGCTGAATCGAATGTATTAATACATGAATCCGTCGAAATTTCTCAAAAGCAAATCTAAGCGAGCATATTTCAGGGGAAATATCGCTCTTCAGGCTACAACATGATGGAATTATTACTAAAGAAAGGCTTCGCTCGCTCGCTCGCGTTATACAATCGCAACGACAATTTTTAAACTGCTATTTCCCAAGAGACAAATACTGAAAATCTTTACTTAATGTCCTTGTAAGGTAAGACTTTTAGGTTTTAAATCGAACAATAGGCACTTCTTTATGCGGAAAAACGGCCAGACCGGTGCTGTTGTGTTCGGTAGTCGGTACAGACAAAAGTATATCGTTATTTACATCTGCCTAGCACAGGAAATGCAGTTTCACCGCTATATTCTTAACGAAATACTCTATTTCAATTTAAAATATGACCGGTCTGACCTTTTTGGCCGCTTAATGGAAAGCGCCATATGATACAAATTTGCATTTACGCTGTGAATAATTTGTGTATGCAAATCTCACGTTATGTTGAGTGTGAATGAAATATCCGTAAATACCTTAACAAAAATTTTGAAAATGGTTTTGTGGTTTTATGAAAGTACAGGGATTTACAAATTACAATATTCGCTTTTAAACGTTCCCCCTTCGCCATACGCCCCCCCACCCCGACCGGAAAATTTTTAGTCCAATATGACACGGTCAGATTTTCGGCTGGATCCGCGCCTGATATCCACTATTGGCGCGACTACGAAATGCTTATAAACGAGTACCTTATTTTGTACTTTACGACACGAATTTTAAGTGCGACTGTGCTTGACGAATGCACAGAACCAACTGAGCGAAAACAGTGATTTACGCAAAGTTTGCTTGCTTCAAATCGGAACTTGCTACCGCGTCATATTAACCGCTAATTACTAAAGGTTC